GTGGTACTCCGTATATTAAAGGTCTTTATTATCCAATTAATGAACGAACCAAAGGTATAAAAAAGAATGAAGTCATAAAACTAATTCGACAAGCAGGTCAACTTATTTTACAAGGATTTTCAATACCAGTCGAACCTCGAGAAAATTTAGCACCAGATGGACAATTATTTGTTGAAATGTGTGAAAAAGATAAAGCATTTTGTTCTTTCGTAACTACAAGATCACCTGATAAACCATTTAAATGTTTAGAAATATGGGCAGAAGATTTTGTACAAGAATATAAACAATGGAATGATGGAGGTTTTGTTGATAATGGTAAAAATATTAGTTGTCCTTTTAATCATTTATTGTTGAGACAATTAAGAAAAAAATATGGCATCAAACACTATCTAGAGCATTCTTCATATCTATTGGTATATATTTGTTGCTTTTTTTTAATAGTAGTTGACTTATTTCTTATTAAGATAGCTTTAGTATGTTATACTAACATCAGAAAAGTATAACATATACTGAAATATACTTTCACAGCGACAACTGATCTAGTCATATACAGCTCTGTTCAAAAAAATTTGCACATCGTGTTATGTAGATATATCCTTATATATCTGTCACGCACAAGTAGTTTCCATTACTGGTTAATAGCCTATGGGGAGTACTATTAAACATTATACTTCAATATTTTATTCGTTCGTCTTTATACTTAACAAGAGACAAACATCGTTTTTTCATCGACAGTAAAGAATTTATTACAATATTAGCAACAACATTTTTAAATTCTTCATATAAAAAAGGTCGAGCTCGTCAATGTTTTACGACTGACCATAAGTTCTCGATAGGATTAATATCTGAAGAATGAGATGGGCACTTCTATGATTGTAATTTTTTGTTGTTAATAAATTGTTTGAAAATACTACTAGTATGTTTAGGATTATTAGCGCATTGTAAACACCAATTTTGACGAAATTCTTGTCTCATAGCAAAAAGAAGATAATTTCTAAGTGTATGACTATAGTATAAACCATATAAGCTGTCAATAATTTTTTTAAATTCACTAACTAAGGCTTATTTGATTGTTACGTCGAATATATTGAGAAATACATTCTTCTCCTATTTCGCTTAAGACACGTGATCGATCATTTCCTCTCCGGTCTTTAAGTGAATTTGTTTATATGGTAATAGATAGTCCTTAGTGGTATCTTCGTTTCATGGTGAACAGCACGAGCAAATCGTAAGCCCTTATTCCAGTAATGTAGTATCGATATATGATGATTTGTAAATCAGTAGATGATGTAATGATTAAATGTTTAAGTACCAAAAAAAATGATACTTTTATATAGGCGACATGTGGTGCAGCTAGCGAATATGTATCTCTGAAAAAGTCAACTTTGTAACTGCTTTCTAACGATAACAAAACCGTTAAACAAAAAGTTCAGTTTTGTGCAAGTTTTTTTAAATAGAGCTGTATATATATATACTTATGAAGTATATTCATACCTAATCCAGTGGACAATACACAGAGAAGAAGTACCAATAGTAGAAAAAAGATAGTACTACTACCTAACATATAGTACGAACTTTAAGTAAAAGAAAATAATTGAAAACGATATCATACAAATATTATAGTGTTATATATAATCGAGAAAACAAGGATATATATATAATAACATAATTTATTCCAGAACTAGTTCATATCAGTGGTATTGTTGAGATATATTTGAATTAATAATAAGTCTTTGTGCTCAATAAATATTAGGATTAATCTTAGTGCTTATGATCATTATGAAGAAAAAACATAGATAACTATCAACATAAATACAAGAAATACAAGTAAATGTAAATGAAAACCGATCAAAATCTTTTAATAAATAATTTATCAAGAATGAAAGATAATGTAGAACACTGAGTTCAAGTTTTATTGCTATTAGTTGATCGGAATGTATGAAAGAGTATATATTCTTATAAAATACTATGTGACACAGATTATATCAACGATTGTCCATATAATCAATGTATAATCATATATTTTTCAATCAAAAATAGTTTTCTATCTAGTATAACACATCACTACTCAAAATGTAACTAACATAATGCTATTTTTAACAACAATTTCTATATTATATTTCCGTTTATAACAGTGATGAAGTTATTGTAGTTGACAAACAAAGAAACAGTTTCATTACTTTTTATTATTGAAGATGAGCTGATCAAATCTATTACGATGGTTGAACAAATAAGTGATTATACATGGACTTGGTGTAATATAATTATATTTATTAGACATCTGAAATAATTCTTCTTTTTTAATATTATTTTAAATAAAGAATTATAATTTTAAATTATTTAAAACAGAATTTCAAAAAAAATGTCTTTCACTAGAATAACATCAACTTTCAAATATTTGATGAGATTATTTCTGTTCTCCTTAGAATATTAAATTATAAAAATTTATTTTCAAAAAAAAACATTCAAAATATTCTATGGTATATGTACAGTTTTTTAACACATGAAAAGAATCAAAATGATTATATTGACTTTTTAATATTCTTTTAACAATTAAAGTTTATACAAAGAAAGAAGTTTTATACATTTTATAATTCTTATTTTTCCATTCAAACAAAACAACATATTGATT